AAATCAGGCCTCTCTGAACTTAGGACCCCCCCCCCCCCCCGAACAAACCAACTTGATAATCGATTGTCATAAGGTGACAATCGACTATCACAGTCTGCAGGACTTTAGGGACAGAAGCTGCACAGCATGATAATCGATTATCAACAGTAGACAATCGATTATCAGCCAGTTTTGAATCTAAGGCCATCATGTTGAACAAATTGTTTTCATACGGAATCAAACATATATGTATGCGTTGAATTTAACTTCTTTCTTCAATCAATGCATTCATTTCACCATGTTCATCCTAGACGCATGTCCTAGGTTTATCATCATATGCATACCACTGTAGGGAGGTCAGGCTTTCGTGCGTCTACTACAGTGGGCCCGTCCAAGAACCTTTGGGATCCAACGGGTTTTCATCAGGTGGGCTTTGTGTACGTACATAGTGGTCAGGTTACGGCTACTACCCGGTTTTGCTAGTCCACTTGTTCCCGGCTCATTACCGTTCCGGTATGACAACCGGAGTGCAGGGGTGATCCTGTCAAGTGAGGCTAAGCCAGGGGTATCCCTGATAGTTTAAGTCATGCATCAAGTCATCATCGTGTATGTTCCGCATCTCGTCAATATTCAATGCGTTGTATATCATTTTCTTATGCGTAATAATATCCCACCAAGTGCAGTCCGAACAGTTAGTAAACATGTGGTTTTCCGTATGTTAAGTACAGGTATTATTATGTGTATAATCATATGGGTTATCACTTCATGTTCTTTTGTTAGATTCACTCCTCAGCTTTTGTTGAGCGTGTAGTTGTTTTTGCTACACGCAGGTAGACATGACGGTACAGGTGCTTACCCTGGAGGACAGTGATGTTAGGAAGATGGGCGGCGCACGGACGAGTTTAATAACTAAATACATCTAATAAATTAATCATTTGGGCTATAACCCATCATTTGTCGCTTTACTTATTTTGCACTTATTTATTTACTTCTGCTTTTACTCTGCATTTATATCACTCACGTTTTGGGGTTAACTCCCTAGCATTTATTTCACTAATTTAACCCAACCGTTTTTATAATAAATAAGCATTAATGTTTTCCGCTACGGACGATTCTCGGACCGCCCATGTAACCCTACCGGTCCGTTGGGTCACGGATGAACCGGGTCCACAGGAGGCAGGTGTTACATCGGCCGCCGACCGCTGCCCCCGGCCGCCGCCGGTCTCCGCCGCGTCGCCGCTACTGACCGGTGGTTGACCGGTGTTGCTATTTTATTTTTAATTATTTTTTAAATTTTCCAAATTAAAAAAAGGCGAGTTTTGGTGTTCAAAGTGGTTAGCTTTGCTTTATTTCCAGGTGAGCTTTGCATTGTCCATTGGTGAGCTTTGTAGTGCAGTGTGGTGAGCTTTGCGTCATCTGACCGAAGCATGTCATCTCACCGTAAAGTGTCATCTCACTGAAATCAATCCCTATATATATGACGATCCAAACACGTAGTGGCCGCGCTCCATATGTGGGGCGTGGCCACAACACCCGTGGGAGGGGGGCGTGGAAGGCGCGGTAGACGTGGCAACCACAACCCATCCTAGATTTTTTAAAACTTTTTCTCTTCGTGTTGCTATCCATCTGTTTTGGATAATATTTGTTATTTGGGGGCTTTGGTCTAGTCCTCCCTCATTTGTATCTCCCCCCCCCTCTTCTTTCTCATTAATAAACATCTCTCTTTATATATATATATATATATATATATATATATATATATATGCATATATATTAATTATATTTTACAAATTTAATTATCATATAACTAAAATTTCCAAATATATAGTTTATATTTATGTCTACATATACGTGTATTCATACATATTGTCACACAATACTAATACACACAATATATAAATATCATTTTACTGCACTTCAATATTTTACACTTTCATATACTCTATGTGTGTGACCCTATTTTAGGTACCTATAACGTTGGTCATAGTATTGATTAGATACTACAAGTGATAAGCAATATCTAGAAACACATTATCACCCCCAAGTTATAGATAGGAAGCTCTTAGAATAATTCCTTCAATGACACATCTTATTTGTATAATTCTTATCCCTTTATCACTAATAGCTTGAATTAACATAAGTTATGTGGTGTGTCACCTTGTTAGAGTTAAATCGATGGTTTACTGATTCCTCGATTTACTTTTGGGATTCAAATAACATATTTATTTGGGCATGGCCATGCACTTTTCAAGTCACATTAATCAGTGGCCCCTAAGATATTATACTTCATTAAAGAAGGGATAATTTCTATCTAGGTCATTCACATCTCCACTTAAGTTTCATTCCTTACCCAAGACATAATTGTACGTCTTAGATGACATTAACTAGTATGCAACTCAACTTACCAAAGATCCTAATGACTTCAAGTCGAAGGATAGTTATACTAATGGTTGCTTAAGAAACATATTAACACACTATCATAATACCCATATATTATTAACATAGCGGGTCAATCTAGCAAGATATTCAATATGTTTGCCTACGTATAGATTCATATAACACTTTATCTATAGCCTATGAGACGCAGCTATCTCATCTCATACGTATTAGTCTGAATAAATTATGGTGTCTGTATTATCATAATATTCGATTAATGATATTTTAGACGTAGTCTCAATCTTTGTAACAGCCTCATAATGAGAACATCATAGTTGTCATCTATGTTACCAGAGCTCCGACACTATGGACTAAAGCTATGTTCAAATCACACGAGACGACTTAAAAAAATCTTTAGCGCCTATTATTCTTTATATAATATAGATATGAAATCATAAGTTGGCCTCTTGGGCTCACTTATATCCAACAGTTCATAACATAGATTCATGTGAATCGATCATATGATACAGCGGCCTAGCATGGACCACGGACCCACTGATTACTATCATGTATCAAATGCAGCTATTCAAAACGTATAAAAATGGTACAACTTACCTAAAAGTCGGTTGACGGTAACAATACCTTGCTACTACCAGATAGAACTTCAATAATGTCAGCTGGTAGTCAGCTACTGTGACCGGACAAGGCTTTGGACACATTAGGCACTCAAGTAATAGGGTCTCAATGCCTTAGACAACCTAGGACAAGCACAAATCACAATTTGGTTCTATCATATGCAAATGTTTAGGGACTCTCAGTAATTAGACACTCAAGAAGAAGGGTCTAAAAGGCTTAGAAAACATAGGAGCATAGCATTGATGTTCCATCATAGCCACACAATTAGGGACTTGGACACATTAGACACTCAAGTAATAGGGTCTCAATCAGAGTTTGGTTCCATCACAAGCACATATTTAGAGACTTTTAGAAATTAGACGCTCAAGAAGAAGAGTCTAAATGGCTTAGAAAAGTTAGGAGCAAAAGAATGAAGTTCCATCACAGCCATAGGATTAGGGAGTTTCACACATTAGGCACTAAAGGAATATGGTGTGAATGCATAGACTTAGGGTCTTAATGACTCATAAAACATAGGAGCATAACACTGAAGTTCCATTAGAAGCACACAATTAAGGACTTTCATACATTACACAATGAAGAAGTAGGGTCTTAAACTCTATAAGCTTGACCAAACACATCACCTTCATTGAGCATTGTGAGTCTCCATACCAATTGGGGTGACATTAGATTATAGAAATTCTCCTATATTTTGGAAATTAATAGGTTTGCATCATTAGTTTGCCAAAAAATCAAGAATAAAGACAACATGCAAGGACGTATATAGAGTATATTAATGCCAGAAGATTAAAGGACATTACTCTGGAGAAATCGTTGGAGTTTGGAAGGACTTTCTATCGGTTCAGCAAATAATATCTCCATATCAGAGGTCATTTCTCTAATATCCTCAGTGGTTATTGATTCATCTTCTGAATCACCTTCTTTCTGTTCTAGATCTGAACTCCACTCTACTCCATCCAGTAGATGGTCACCTCCGAGGTACTTTTTCCGGTAGTTCCAAGATGGATTGGTGTCAGATGAATCTGATGGATGGACTCTTCATCACCATTAAAGGAGCAAATTGACACAGTCCCTTTATGAAACGATGGAAGGACATCCTTATCAGGGCTAAAGGAACCACCAGATATCTTTCTCTTAGGACACGACCTTCCTCATTGCTATCAGTTAGCAAGCGAAATGAGGGCATGGAAGAATCTGGAGAAAATGGGGAGGTAGCCAGGGAAGGATATGGAGAAAATGAGTGGTGAATGAGATAGGGTTGGTGAAAAGACAACGACAGGTGGAATGAAACGGGTGAAATAACCGAGGGAGGAATAAATTAGGGTAGGGGGTATTTTAGAGATTTTAAATAGAAGATGAATTGTTTTGTTGGAAGTGAAAATTTTGAAAGGGGGAGTGTTTTTGAGAACGAAGGGAGTAGAATATTTTACTTCTTTTGCATTTTTAAATACTTTTTAGTTAGATTTAACAATGTTATATATGAATAATATACAAAATAAAATATACACAAATTTTAAAAACTGTAAGATAACTATATGATGTCACTAAAAAGTTATTTGAAAATACTCTTCCATTTCACAAAAAGAAGTTCTCGTTTTTCGCTTTTGGTAAATTTAAAGGAGATATATTTTATAGTTGACTTTCCAAGTTTTGCCCTTGGATGTGGTCGGTAAAGTAGGTTGCGATAAGTTGGTCAAAAGTGAATAGAGATGATGCGATAGATAGAGAAATACTCCTTCAGTTCTAGTGTATTTGTTGAGTTTGACTTTTTAGAGTCAAATTAGATAAACTTTAATCATCAATTATCATACTCTCAATTTATATTGCATATGAATACAATGAAATAAAATTTTGAATGTGCTCAACAAGATAAATATAATTGAATCGTTTTTATACTATTATACATTATACTTTTTATTCAATTGAGGTCTAACGTTTGTCCACTTTGAATTGACTCAGAAGAGTGAAACTCAACGAATAGATGGACGGTGGTCATAATTTGGAGTAAAAATAACTTTTTAATATAGAGTAGAACTGTTTTGCCGATAGAGAAAATAGTAAAAGGGAAAATGTTGTGTGAAAGAGCGGGAGTATTAGTTTATACATTAAAAATGAGCAATAAGAATAAAATGAAACCACAACCTTATCTTTATCATATTATTTTTCATGTTAAATTATTTCAAAAACTTTGATGTTAGCTGGTCAGTCAAGTTGGATTAAACAAAACCTTTGTTTGAAACTCAATAATTTTAGGCTGAGTGTCAGATAAAAAACAGATCAAGTTGATTTTTTAGAAATAATCCTAAATAGGACTAAAACATAGAGAAAAGTACCAAAATAAGACTTTCATGTTTTTTTTTCCCGAAATAGGACTTTGCACTGTGGTAATGTGACTTTGCATTGTGGTAATGTGGCAGTGTACATGTGCAAATTAATATACTTTTTTGGTAATGTATATGACCATGTTTGGTAATGTAAGTTCTATTTTGGGAATAAAAGGATGGAAGTCCTATTTTGAGTTATTTTCAATGTTTTAGTCCTACTTTGGTCTTTCTCCATTGATTTTTGTGAGGCGTACATCTAAACTAGGTGGGGAGAGGGGTGGGGGATAACAAAAGACACCAAAAGGCGAGCCAACATTATCATTTCAAAGACAAAATGGACTCAAAAAGGGCATCTCCTTGGAGTCCTTTAGGCTACTTTAACCCCACACGGCATTGAAAACAACACTCAAAGTGTCAAATCTGTGACTTTTTTTTGGTGAAAATAAAATGCCAGTGTTTAATGGTGGGAGCCCAATGTAAACATAAAATCCAAA